TAATATTACGGATAAAAGTAATTACTTTGAAAAGTTAATACGTTTAAATATAAGGGAGGTTAACACTAAGAATAAAATGAATAAACGAAAAGGTTTATTTTGTATGTAACAGCATAGTTGGCAAAAGTTTACCATAATGGTTATATTTTAAAATGTAGCATAATTTTGTTTGGGCTTCGCGAACCCACAAAATCTTCAGGAAAGTCTTGCAAATCCTTTAAGGTTGCGATGATCCCGGATCGATCCCTCGAGTCCAGTTCTTACGGTTCCTTGTAGATTGTTTAACTTAAATGTGTATAAGTTTAGTAGCTTACAAATACGAGATTTTTATAATATATACATACGTATGTACGTATACATCTTTCTGTCCTCTCTGTCCTCGTCGATTAAAAGTAAGCAACGTATCTGCAATTGCGGATACCTATAGCATGCGGTCGCTTCGCTATTTCGCCGAATTCAGATGGCCGCTTCCTCGTTTGTAATCATTAGATTAAAGAAACATCTGAATGTGTACTTACATATCTAAATATTTCAATGTGAGTTACTTCTTTAATTTTTATATTTAATAATTAAAACCCTTTAAGAATACAAATGTTAAGGATATGTTTTTTTGTTCCATTGAAATGTTTCTAGTCGCTTTGTTATATCATTCTGTTTCTCGATATTAATAAACAAAAATTACCACCATTGGCAAGCCATTAAGATGCGCATGTCTGTCCACAGCGAAACTAAAATAACTCGTGTGACGATTGACATGCTTTGGAACACGGTTGACTGAGTAATATAGTTTGTGACATCGTGACGTCAGTTGAAAAATAGCCATTGGATATGTTATTTACTAGCAAAAAAGCGGTGCTTGGGTCTCTAAAGAAAAAGACATAAATCTAAATTACTGTACCAAACACCAAATCTGAAAGATAGCTTTTTAATAAAGTGTACCAAAAAACTATAAACATTGTGGCATGGTGCGATAGTGTGACGCATGGCTCTCTTCAGTCACCCTAAGGGTTACTCTTAAGCTGATTCATAAGCGATGTAACTCTTTTCATTGGATACGACGAAATACTAAACTACAGTAATTAAGATTATTGATTAGGTTTTATTGCTGTAGTATACAAGAAGAGCCGTACAACTTCAACAATACGTATTTGTTCTTTGAACTGTGAGTTTTCACTATTGAAACATTTGTTTGAGAAACATATTTTCATCCCTCTCCTTACTTTTGAATAGATAAAAATAGCATTATATTTTAAAAGAAGTGTTTTTAGAGCATTAATTACGCTTGATATAAAATATTAAACGAGATTTGTTTTTAAACAAATGAAATATGTGCGCATATTTTAATATGTCTCCGAGATACACGAGATAATTGGAAAAATTATTAATGAAAATTAAAAGCAAAAAAGTTTAACAAGCACTTTTCTTTTGGAACCTTTCCAAGTGTTGTGCGTTGTAAGTTAAAAAGTATGCATTTCGTTCGCTGTGAACGCGCAGGTTTGGAAAGAATGCAACTTTGCTATTCCCGTGCTATCTTCTTTTTGTTAAAATTACTCGTGTGAGCAATTAAATCCGGTTGTAAATGAAAATAAATTCATGTCCGTTATTTTGAGAGACAGTTGGAGATTGAAAAACTGAGTTTTTACTATGCTTTATCCTAATTATAGCTTGACTAGAAATACAAAATACCACTATTTTGCGGAATAATATAGGTGATAATATCAATTGAAGCGCTCCCATGACAGATTTTCTATTTTCCTGGTTCGGCTATACATGCTAATCAAACGGTGTTTATCTGGTTATTATTTATTTGTTACGCGAACTCTGGAAATCTGATAGGTTTTCGTAAAGTCTGATTTTTTTAATTGATTTTATTTAATGATTGAAATAAAAGCATTCATACTGACTGTAAGACATATTAAAAGTCTTTGAGAAATCCCATAACAAAGCAATTCGTCTCGTTCTCTTTGAACAGAAAAAAACGAGATATCAATATATGTATTTTGATGCGTTTTTTTCTTAACATTGGCCTTTCTTATTTTTACTGAATTCTTGGCACATTAAAGCAAAGCCCTGACCTGGACTACATATAATATGTACATAGATGTATGTACAGTAAACTTTGAACTATGTAAATTAATAATCGCCGTGAGCACGTCTACATATCGTCACGGTTCAATTGTCAAACAAGTCGGTTGATAAACAACGTCCAACGAAACTCTTTGTTTACAAAGCAACCGTATCAGTTGTTGTTTACGAATAATTTAAATAGTTTCCGATTGTTTGAGCGGCGTACGGCCTTTGTAAATAAGTAACGCACTGAGATTGGGTCGAATTAACGTGTCGACGAATAAACGCTAGGGTACTATGGAATACTCCTGTATCAAGGGTTGACATGACTTAATTAATTCCGCCTATGAATATAAGTTAACTTAAGCGTATTATTTATAGCATAGTTTAACAATTGGTATACATTCAACGACTTTAATTTCCGACCCATTTAGGTGAAATAAATTTAACGATAATATTTTTTTTGATTACAACATAGCATACGAACAAGCGGCTAACTGAATTTGACGAAATAAAAAAGCAACTGCATATAGAACTCTGCAATTGCAGATGCGTAGCCTTCTTTTCATCGAAGGAGGAGGGGACGAGCAAGATTTCCCGTTAATATGCGTTCTATCCTGCGTCAAATCGACGTTCCCTTCCCATCCTATAAGACATGGGTGCTAACCCTTATGTTCATTTTGTATAGTTCTTGCAACAGATGTTGTTACTGGTGGATGCCACTGTTAATGCAAATAATGAATTTAATTGCATAGAACCACATTCAGAGAAAGTCATTTAAAAAGACTAGCAGTGGAGTCTTCTCTTAATGACAGTTTTCTGCACCATATTCGATGCTTAGTGTGAATCGAATTTAATTTTTTTTTATATCATATGGTGGTAAACAATCGAGCGACCTTAAATCGCTGAAATAGCGAAGTGGCCGTTGCCCATAGACATACGCAATTGCATATGCGTTGCCTACCTTTAATCGACGGAAGAGAGGATGCACAGAAAGAAAACATTTTCCCTTTCCATGAATCCTCTCATCCGGAATGTCCACTTCCACTTCCCATCCTTTCCTTATTAGAGAAAAAGGGTAGGAAAGGAAAGAAGACTATAAATCATGCCTCCGGGACGCAAACTCATCGGGCGAAACGCGGAATTGCTGTCTTCTGTGTGGTCGTGGTATTTCACCGGGCGTGTCGGGCCAAGTTTGACTTGACTTGAAACATGGAAAAAGATTTTCATTCATACCATTTGACCGTTTATAGCTTACAAGGTCTGTAATGCAAATGCTAATTGCAAACTTTGCATTGACTATTGTAAGGTTATTTATAATGTTCTAAACAATTGCTAAGTGATGGAATATCCTTTCTCGTAACAATGGGAACCTTGTCTGCTTTATGTCGAATACAATTAGACATTATTATGTTGAGACTGTATGTTTTTATTAGCATAGTTAGTTAAAATTGTGTATTTTAAATTACTTATTTAATAGCAATCATATTATCCTTATCATCAGCTCACTATACGTCCCCACCGAGGGGCTCGGAGCCTACCCTAAGTTAAGGGTGATTAGGCCATAGTCAACCACGCTGGCCAAGTGCTGGTTGATTGACTTCACACATATCTTTGAATTTCTTCTCAGATATGTGCAGGTTGCATCACGATGTTTTCCTTCGCCGTAAGAACGTCGGATAAATGTACATATGTAAGTCGGAAATCGAAAAACACATTGGTACATGGCGGGATTCGAACCCAGGGCCTGCAGATTGTAAGGCAAGTGCTTGACCACTGAGCCACCGACGCTCTCGACTATATCGACTATTATAATTTGCGCCTTACCAAATGTTACATGTCAAATAAAATTAATCAATCAAAAATATTTATTAATTGTTTTCTTTTTGTTTTAGATGCATCATCCAATCCAGATGAAGCCGGCTGACAGCGAAAACAGAAATGGTGAGTTAACTTTTAAACTTAATACTATATCTAATTTGTGATCACCCTTAATTTTGGAACTCGACAATATAAACTCGAGTCGATTACACTAGTGAAGATGCGCCTTTATTATGATTTTTTAATTATTCTGTATCGTATGTCTGGCACGTGTGCTTGATCTTGTAATGACGTCATTATTATTTCTTTTCAACCAGTACTCATCTGGTTTTCAATCGATATATAGAAAAAAATAAAAGATTCTTTCCGTTAAATGTGATTGGGAGCTATAAAATGATTTTAAGCGAACATGAGCTAAGCGCTTTAAAGCGTTAATTTCGCGCTAAACGAGCTATTTACGAGTGTAGTTTGCACAAAACAAGCTCGCATCGGACTTGAGCGGATTTTTTAGCGCTGCGCTGCACGCCGCGGAACACGTGCTCTTACATAATCCCGCGCTTACAGGGTTGCCGCTTTATCTCTGAGCGCTATTTCATTTGTGCTTTTACTCTAATTATTATGAAATTGTTTCTTACTTGTTAACGTTTAATTCATTATTGTTTCCCAAATATTTTTATCGCAGAAATAAATAACCCTATATCACTAGCACACATATTACGCATACGTGGGGAAGCATGCATATTCAATCTGTGAGCGTTTGTATTCTATTTATACGTCAGTGCATCGGATTAGCTGATGTCTCGTCTCGGATCACTCGG